AGCAGGAAGCCGGTAAAGAGTCAATGTGAGAATCATAAGGTTTCAGATAAAATTTGGAGCAGCCGCTACTAAACATTTGACAGCTATATTAAGCGAAGTAACAATTAAGCTCACTCGAATAGCATGGCTCGAGCAGAGGCCGCAGTTCCAGTAGAAAGCCATTTATGAGTCAACGTGAGAATCGTAAGGTGTCACATCAAATTTGGAGCAGCTGCTACGAAATGCGTCAAACCATGCGAATTTGGTGGTCAGGCAGCCAATGTTAAACAATAAGAAAACTAAAACCATTAACATCAACAAGTGCAGCAAACAGCAACGTGCTGCAAAACTGCATTAAAGTAGATCGTTTAATACACATTGTCGACAGTATTCCTAATCGACACCGGTTCAGCAGTATCAATCATTCCGTTAACAACAATCCCACGTAGACGCAATTTAATTTTAGATGACCTGAAACTAATTGCAGCGAACAATTCACACATAAAGACGTACGGTACCAAAAGACTTAAGTGGCCATTAGACAGTGTTAGAACTCCACTCCATACCCAAAGGTTAATGTGTGTAAAATGTTTGTAAACTTGCTTTGGTCGTTGCAACCGTGCAGCTATAATTAGAAAATGCAACCCAGTGCACACATGAACTGTCAGTTCATGTGTCAGCTGATTGTCATTTGTGCTTGGCTTTTGTTTTTGAGTTCCGGTAGAGGCAAGGCGGTTGTCACGACCAAAAGTAAGTGAAAAAATAATTAATTTTAAGTATTAGAAATTAATAAATTTGTTTTAAGATTTTAAAGCATTACATTACATCATATTACATCACATACACACAAATAACTTGTTTTGCTATTAAAATTTGGTCAACAACAACACTAATTAAAAAATAACAAACTTTAAAATTTTTGTGGCAAGCTGTAAAAATCTTGCGGTAATCGAGAAAAGAAAATAGTGTGGCGATTTGCCTGGAAAGAAATCCGAAAAAATCCTTTTAATCGGGAACACATATAAAAAGAAAAATATGTCATCCGGCAGCCAGAAGTCGACTGTACAATGTGCCGTATGCAAAAAGGTGAAGACTGGAAAGATGGTGCAATGCGACGCATGTGACCAATGGAGTCATTTTGCATGCGTGGGCGTGGACGACAGCATTGCAAACCTGCCGTGGAGTTGCGATAAATGCAACACGGTAGTGCAGGTTTCACAAGAGGTTCCAGATAAGGCACCAAGTGAGGAGGACTTGGTAAGTAAGGGCGGTTCAATCATGTCAAGAAACAGCATGAGAATCGAACTGCAGTACTTAGAAGAGCAAAGAAAAGCCGAAATGAAATATATAGAAAAGAAACGTACAATAATGCTGAAGTATGTAGGCGAGGATGATGTTAAGGGTGAAGGCATGAGTGAGGTAAGGACACATAGGACGTTAGAATGGGTGAAGAAGCAGGTTGGTATGAACAACGATGACAGCAAACCAAACGTAGGTTGTGGTGTTCAGTTGGATGGTTCAGCTGATAGGGCGGAAGCCCAAGCAGTATCGCAAGTTATACCGGCGCTGATGATAGAACAAATTAATGCGCGTCATGTCGTTCCACGAGATTTGCCTATATTTACCGGAAAGCCGGAAGAGTGGCCACTTTTCTACAGCAGTTTCAGCAATTCAACACGTTTATGCGGTTTCAGTGAAGACGAGAATCTTTTACGATTGCAACGTGCCCTTAAGGGTAAGGCACTTGAATATGTCAGCAGTAGGCTCATGATACCAGCATTAGTGCCGGAAATAATGTCAACTCTTCAAATGGTATTTGGAAGACCAGAACACATAATCAATAACTTAATTACTGAAATTCGAGCAGTGTACATTAATATAAATAAATTGGACACAATTGTTACGTTCGCCTTAGAGGTAAAAAATTTGATCGCAACTATGGAGGCTTCAGAGTTACATTCACACTTAGTGAACCCGTTGCTTATCCAAGAGCTTGTAGAAAAACTACCACCGCAAATGCGATTGCAGTGGGCTGTTGCATCGCGTAATATCAATGTAACACTTAAAACATTCGGCAACTGGATATATGAACTAGCAGAAGCAGCAAGTAATGTATCGCCCGTTTTTAGTGCTGGAGCCAGTGTAGATAATGAAAGGCGCAAAGCGCAACGCATTAATTTTCACGAAGAAGAACCTCAGGGTGCAGTAGGCGATAAGCACAAAATTCTAGCATGCTTTTATTGCAAGGAGGCACATGCGTTAAAAAGGTGTGCAAAGTTTAGAACACTAAAAACAGACGCGAGGTGGAACGTAGTGCGTGAAATGAGACTGTGTGGAAGATGTCTACTGCAGCATGATTTTCGAACGTGCAAGAGGACCCGAGAGTGCGGTATACACAATTGCAACATGAAACATCACCCATTGATACATAAACAAACAAGTTCAACTGCAAGTGGGGCAAATGAAACGTTGGCGGTTCATCATCAACTAACTTCACAAGCGCTGTACAGAATTGTTCCAGTTACAATATATGGAAATGGTGTTACCTGCAACATTTATGCCTTTCTGGATGACGGATCTGGTCCAACGTTAATAGAAAAAGACGTATTAAGACAACTGCGGATTAAAGGTGAAACGAAAGATCTTTGTTTACGATGGACAGATGGTACGGTACGCAAGGAACCTGATTCTGAGCTGGTCAACCTGCAAGTCTCCAAAATACGCGAAGGTAAAAGGTATTCATTGTGCAATGTGCGTTCAGTAGCTAAGCTGGAGCTACCCGAGCAATCTTTAAATATGACAGAACTTACCGATAAGTATAAACACTTAAAGGGACTACCAGTAGAATCGTATCAAAACGTTAGGCCTCGAATGATAATCGGCCTAAGCAATAAAGAGGTAGCTATGCCAATGAAGTTCAGAGAGGGAGGCAAGAATGAGCCAGCTGCAACGAAAACTCGACTCGGTTGGACCATATACGGAATAATTAAGCACGAACCTAATACTATTAGGGAAACGTTAAATTTACACATCTGTGAATGCGATGATGATCTAAGTTTGCAGCGTTTAGTGAAAGATTTTGTCAGTAATGAAAACGTTATTGAAAGTAAGAAAAAACTAGAAAATATGGAGTTGGAACAACACAAAAGTATGCAATCAAAAATAAGTCGAAATGGTGAATACTTTGTAGCAAGATTGCTTTGGAAATCAAATAACATTACTATACCGGATAATTACTTAATGGCGTTGCGTAGACTTCAGTGCTTTGAGCGCAAGCTGCAATCCAATGTAACATTGCAAAGCTAGGTATGTGATCACATCGATGACATGAAGGCGAAAGGTTATATACGCCAGCTGAAACCTAACGAAGCCGAGGGGTATTATCCACGTAAATGGTACTTACCGATGTTTACAGTCAGTAATCCGAATAAACCACAAAAGCAAAGACTAGTGTGGGATGCAGCTGCACAATATGACGGAGTCTCGTTAAACGCGTGTTTGGAGAAAGGTCCAGATCTGCTCACTTCGTTGGTAGATGTTCTTGTTAATTTCAGAATCGGAAAAATTGGTATAAGTGGCGACATTAAAGAGATGTTTCATCGAGTACTCGTGAAAGAAGAAGATCAACATTCACAACGCTTCCTGTGGAGAAATTGTGACGATAGCAGACCACCAGACGTTTATTTGCTACAAGTTATTAGTTTTGGGGCAACATGTTCACCATCGTTGGCACAACTGGTAAAAAATAGTAATGCACGCGAATACGAAACCGAGTTTCCGCGAGCAGTGAAATGTATTTTACAAAGGCATTATGTAGATGACATGCTGGATAGCGTCGACACAGTGGAGGAAGCGATTAATCTAGTCAATGAGGTTAGAAATATTCATAAGAAAGCAAATTTCCGTATTCGCAATTGGGTTTCAAATTCTAAGGCAGTGCTGAAAGCTATAGGTAACCAAGGCCAGGAATTTCAATTTTGCTCGGCCGGAAGGCGTATAGACCATACATTTGAGGCAGAGAAGGTATTGGGAATCCATTGGCAAACCGACGCTGATATGCTCACATTTGATCTGAAGTTTACCAAAGCCACTGAGGATGTTCTAAGTGGATATAGATTACCTACGAAGAGAGAGTTGCTACGATTGATGATGTCAATATTCGACCCTTTAGGGATGCTTACCTTTTACATTATTGACGTAAAAATTTTGTTTCAAAAAGTTTGGCGAAGTGGAGTTAGCTGGGATGACGCTATTCCTAATGAGCTAGTTGATGAGTGGAACAAATGGCTGTCGCTGCTTGGCGGTGTGAAAAATGTGAAGATACCGAGATGTTACTTCGCTACGGTTAATAAGGATGCAGACTCCATTGAATTGCATGTCTTTGTGGACGCAAGTGAGGTTGCATATGCAGCGGTGGTGTACCTAAGAGCGAAGAATCGCAACAACATAGATGTTTCCTTGATATGTTCTAAAGCAAAAGTTGCACCATTACGACCAATATCAATTCCAAGACTGGAACTACTCGCGGCGGAATTGAGAGCACGCTTAGGAAACAACATAAAAAGGGCAATAGACTTGAAAGTGACCAGTATAACGTATTGGAGCGATTCAAAGGCTGTTCTATCGTGGATAAAATCTGACCCACGAGATTACAAACAATTTGTAATGTTCCGCATAGCAGAAATCCAGGAGTTGTCCGAAGCAGAACAATGGCGGTACATTCCTACAAAATTAAATGTTGCGGACTTGGCTACAAAACAAACTAGTAATCTAGACTTTACTTGGAAAAACCCTTGGTATAAGGGACCGAAGTTCCTGTATGAAGCAGAAACTTGTTGGCCAAATAATGTTGGCGTACAGAAATATAACGAAGATTCTGAAATCAGAAAGCAACGATTGTGGTGGCTCATGTAGCAGAGGAGGAACCTCTCATAGATGTCTACCGATTTTCAAAGTGGGAACGTTTAGTTCGATGCATGGCCTATGTGAAAAGATTTATGTCTTTACTATCAACTAATGAAATGAAAAAGAAGAAATCTGTAAACCAATGCTTGTCAGTTGAGGAACTGAAATGGAGTGAAAATTTCTTATACCAAACAGCCCAGTTACAGGATTACAAGAAAGAAATGACTGCATTAAGTAGAGACGCTAATATTACTCTTTCTAAAATTAGCCCTTTGCGAAAACTTTCACCATTCACAGATGCACAGAATGTTTTAAGATTAAAAGGTAGATTAGATAAAGCCGTATGCATCGATGATTCAACCAAATTCCCAATTATACTATCAAGGAAAAACTACATAACTAAGTTGATCGTAGACTGGTATCATCGAAAATGGAAACATCTAAATCATGAAACGGTGGTTAACGAAATCTTTCAGAAATACCACATTCCGGGACTGCGTAGACTGTTAAAGCAGGTAAGAAATAATTGCCAACATTGCAAGGTTCGCGATGCGAGTCCAAAGCCGCCGGAGATGAGTGTGTTACCAGAAGCACGACTATCAGCATACTCCCGACCATTCTCACATGTTGGAATAGATTATTTTGGCCCGTATACTGTAACAGTAGGAAGACGCTCAGAGAAGCGCTATGGCGTCGTTTTTACATGCCTTACGTATCGAGCAGTGCATTTGGAGATAGCTTATAGCCTGTCAGCCAGCTCGTGTTGTATAGTGATACGAAATTTCATAGCCCGAAGAGGAGTGCCGAATGTCATCTATAGTGACAATGGAACCAACTTAACAGCAGCTGAAAAGGAGTTACGAGAAGCAATAAAGAACGTGAACTTCAATGAATTGCAATCTGAATTTACAAGTCCGGAAACACAATGGGTTTTTCTTCCACCAGCTGCGCCGCACATGGGTGGAGCGTGGGAGCGGATGGTGCGATCCATAAAAACAGTGTTAGGAGCAATAATAAGCCCGCAAGCAAAAATTAATGATGAAAAGATGCATAACCTGTTCTGCGAGGTAGAATCAATCATAAATAGCAGACCGCTCACTTATTTGTCGATTGAAACAGCAAGCGAAGAAGCGTTAACTCCGAATCATTTCTTGTTGGGGTCATCTTCCGGGAACAAGCCGCCGGGGAAGTTCGATACTAACGACGAGCACGTGAAATCCTCCTGGAGGCATTCGCAATACCTTGCCGATCGGTTCTGGAAAAAATGGATACAAGAGGTGCTTCCAACGATGACAAGACGGACGAAATGGTTTGGTAAGATAAAACCCCTCGAAGCAGGTGATGTCGTCATTATTGTTGACCCAAATTCTCCTCGCTACACATGGCCGAAAGGAATTGTAATTAGTGCCATTAAAGCAAGGGACGGGCAGACCAGGAGCGCCATAGTGCAGACTACTCGAGGGCAATATCATAGACCTGCTGCAAAATTAGCCGTATTAGATGTTCGTGGAGCGGCAGTTTAGAGTAAGTCGTATTCTTATTAAAGAGATACTGGGGGGAGAATGTTAGAACTCCACTCCATACCCAAAGGTTAATGTGTGTAAAATGTTTGTAAACTTGCTTTGGTCGTTGCAACCGTGCAGCTATAATTAGAAAATGCAACCCAGTGCACACATGAACTGTCAGTTCATGTGTCAGCTGATGGTCATTTGTGCTTGGCTTTTGTTTTCGAGTTCCGGTAGAGGCAAGGCGGTTGTCACGACCAAAAGTAAGTGAAAAAATAATTAATTTTAAGTATTAGAAAT